CACAGGTTTGATAATGTGTCTACGTCTCATTGCTGCTGTTACTTACTATCAATTCCTTTGAAAAGAATTCATCTCATATTGACATATACCAGGGAATTTTGAAGATTTGCCAATTACCTTCAGCATCGATCTACGATAATTATTGGCCAGTGCAGAAGGTAAGTTCTATTTTTTTTTTACACTTATCTTTGCTTACTGTTGCTGTATGTTGATAAGATAGAAAAATAATAAGTATATGAGGACTGATCACGTTAATGCTGATAATTTTGTCTAGATTCCTCTGAAGGCCACGCCTCACCAAGTTACTTATTACGCGGAAAAGAACTTGTATCCACTGATAGTATCACATCCGGTGAGTATGTTAGCATGATAATGTTCTAAAGTGTTCTACCTAATTTGAATTACATCTCGTTACTTGCCTTGGATGAATTTGAAATTCTTTGAATCGGGTGTTGGTCTTGGAAATTTAAATCTGTTTCATAGGCTCCCAAGATTATGTGGCAACTGTATTGCTCAGCTCCCAGTTTTAGCCTTTTCAGCAAATTTGAATTTTTCTCAATTCAGATTATCAATATTACCGTTCTAGAGCAAGCTTCAGACAAAAACAGGTTTCAAGGGCTCCATTCAATTGAAATGGACGCCTCTCTAAACTTCATTCATGAATATCATATATACCTGATTTTGGTTGACTTCCTAGGCTGCAGCAATATTAATAGATCCTGCTTATTTGCTTTGTTTGATTGTTGAACCCCTGAACTAATGTAATGTGTGCATGCTTGTTTATTCGTTTTCTTTTTGTTGAGAAGAAAGGAAGTTCTGTGCCAATTGTGTATTATCTGTCTGTTTATTTGATCCGCATAGTTTGATATTTATTATTCTATCTTATTAACACGAGCAAAAATATTTGTTTCTCAATTTTTAAGGTCAGCAAGCCATTGAATCAAGTGCTTTCTTCACTAGTTGATCAAGAAGCTGGCCAGCAGATTGACAACCATAATCTGAGCTCTGATGATCTCCAACGAACATACACCGTAGAGGAGTTTGAAATCCAAATTTTGGAACCAGAAAGATCTGGTGGCCCCTGGGAAACTAAAGCTACTATTCCAATGCAGACCTCAGAACATGCACTCACTGTGCGAGTTGTCACACTTCTTGTAAGTTAGCTACTAAGCCTGCCTAAATTCATAGTGTTGTTCTCTGCCTCCATGAAGAATGTTTATCTTCTCTATCTGTATGACATGATAATTGAAGAATATTGCTGGCAGCAGATCTAGGGATCAATCTAATAAATGTCTTTGTTTAAATTGCAATAACCAAAGGCTCATTTTCTTACTCCCCTGGGTGTTTCAGAATGCAAGCACATCGGAGAATGAAACACTTCTTGCTGTTGGAACTGCCTACGTCCAAGGGGAGGATGTTGCTGCAAGGGGCCGTGTACTGCTTTTCTCTTTTGGAAGAAATGGCGATAATTCTCAGAACTTGGTATGTTTAGTTACGACCTGGTGAAGCTTGTTCTTTGTTTTCGTTTCCATCTTGGATCTTCGATCTATTCTGAAGCCACTTTTCAATAGGTTACTGAAGTCTACTCAAAGGAGCTAAAAGGTTCTATATCAGCTGTAGCCTCCATTCAGGGTCATCTTCTAATATCATCTGGTCCTAAAATCATCTTGCACAAGTGGAATGGCACCGAGTTAAATGGTGTTGCCTTCTTTGATGCTCCACCGCTCTATGTAGTGAGCATGAATGTTGTACGTTTTACTTCCTTATCCGAGTGCTGTGTTGTTTTATGTGCTAACTTCACTGAGCTGACTTGGCTTGGCTCTGAAGATCAGTTTTCTTCTTCTGCGTGATTAATCATTGTTGCACTTGTGTTAATTTTCCTTTACATGCAGGTGAAGAGTTTCATCCTCCTTTGTGATGTTCACAAAAGCATATACTTTCTTCAATGGAAAGAACCCCAACTTACCTTACTAGCCAAAGACTTTGGATCCCTCGATTGTTTTGCGTCAGAGTTTTTGATTGATGGAAGTACGCTTAGCCTGGCTGTCTCGGATGAGCAAAAGAATGTCCAGGTTAGTATCTCTCTCATCGCCCTTAATGTGTACGTGATGGGATCAGGTCCTTACTTATATAACTCTTAAATCGACTTTGCATTGTTCCCCAACAGGTATTCTATTTTGCACCAAAGATGTCTGAGAGCTGGAAAGGTCTGAAACTTCTTCCAAGGGCGGAGTTTCACGTCGGTGCCCATGTGACAAAGTTCCTACGCTTGCAGACGGTCGCATCTTCTTCTACCGGAGATAATAAAAACCGCTATGCTTTGCTATTTGGTACACTAGACGGCAGTTTTGGTTGCATTGCTCCACTTGACGAGGTCGCGTTCCGTAGGTTACAGTCTCTCCAGAAGAAGCTAGTGGATGCTGTTCCACACGTTGCTGGTCTGAACCCACGCTCTTTCCGTCAGTTCCGCTCGAGTGGCAAGGCTCGACGACCTGGTCCTGATAACATCATCGACTGCGAGCTACTTTGCCAGTAAGTCATCTTCCACATTCTATATTTAACAATCAGTAGTAACAGCCATATGATCATAGACGTAGATGATGATACATGGGTTTTTGCAGTTACGAGATGCTTCCACTGGAGGAACAGCTTGAGCTTGCTCATCAGATTGGGACAACTCGAGCTCAGATTTTCACGAATCTAGTTGAACTCTCTGTCGGAACCAGCTTCTTGTGAAAGTTCAGAGCGTAATACGTTTGTTCATCTATGGACGATAAAGAGAATAGAGAAAAAAAAGGCTGTATTGCTTCATGTTGTACAGATGCTGTAACTTATGGGTTTAACCATCATTTTGTACCATTTAGATTTATGTTTAAGCTTCTTCTCGACTCAATGTTTTGTTTCATGTCTACTTTGAATCCTTCAGTTTTTCATAGATCTGGACAGTAACTTGATAACAACTTTGTTTAATTTTGAGTTTATCAATGAAAACTTTTATAAAGATAGTTTGCAAAATAAATCTCTTCATGGTTTCTTTTCAATTGGTGTTCTCCATTGATCCCTCCTATTTCGTTTTATATGTCTTTGATGCCATACATATTTATTTCATAGTTAGAAGGCAGATCAACATATAACTAATGCCAAATAACAAGAATTTTTCATTTCTTTGCTATTTAATTATATGGATAAAATTGCACAAAAATAATTATATACAAGATGTGAGCTTGAAAAGACGAAAAGATCTTTCATTAAGATACAAGATGTTTTATTAAAACCCACGGACGGAGTGCTAAACACACCAAATATTTGGACTATATGCCAAAGAGAGAATCCTCCCATCTCGGCTTAATTAGATGGATTCCAATTACATTGTGTAGAAGGATCGAGCTTGAGGTTCAAATCAGTAGAGTTAGATTTTCTTATACAGCTTTAGTAAAAAACTGTTATCAAACTTTTTCATACAACTCTCCCAGACACAACTCTCAAGACAGTTTCAACCTACCTGGTTTTGGAAGATAGTGACCGTTATCTATCCTGTTTTTACCCAAAATAGCAAATTCTTTCAAATCTAAAACCGCCTTTGGAACAGATACACCGGGTTCCGCCCCCGACCATCGTCGAGGGCCCTCTACAACGGCAGCGGACAACGGCAAGGACATCTACATCACTTCCAGCAACAGCGGCAGCTCCTCTACACTTGTCTCAACAATGGCTCGCAGACTCTCCGCTACTGAGAAAGGCAAAGCGATTGACTACTCACCAAGAAGTCCTCTTCACAAAAGAATCAACGTCCCAGAAATGGATACATCAGATCTCATCTAGGAAAACTCCCTCACTCTGATAGGAAGACTTACCAACACCGATGAACAACGAATCTGGGCCATGCTTCCCTTCCTACCAAAAAGATGGAACCTGCAGGGGAAAACCATAGGGTCAGACCTAGGACATGGCTGTTTCCAGTACAGATTCGACAACGAAGACGACTTAAAAAGAGTACTGGACAACAGACCGTACCAATACGCTGGCTGGATGGTCATCATTAAGAGATGGGAGCCCATTATCTCCGCAGATTTCCCCTCCCAAATCCCCTTTTGGATTGAGCTGAAGGGCCTACCCCTCCATTACTGGAAACCAGAGCTAATCTCCAGCATCGGCAAGGAAATTGGCTACCTCGATACCTTCACCATCACCAAAACTTCGGCGAAGATCCGCGTCACCATCGATGGTCTACAACCTATTATAAAGGAAACCATCATGGAGTTTACAGGAGGAAAAGAAGTGCTTGTAACCCTTTCCTATGAAAAGCTGGGAAACCACTGCTCCATATGCCAACGCCTCACCCACTCTACTACCAACTGCCCAAACACGAGGAACAGGGCAAAGCGCAACGACTACCACACGACGTCTACCCAACCCAGTGACGCAAAGAAAAGCTTGGACATCAACCAAAAAGGGAGAAGAACACCTTACAAATCTCGAACTGACAGACATGGCAGACCGTTTGGAGACCGACCCTCTGAGCTCAAAAGCCTCCAGAGATGGAGATACCTCCCAGATGGAAAACAGAAGAAATCGGGGAACAGAACCCAAACAAGGACTTGGACACAGACCCCCCACCTCTGACGTTCACCACGGACGGGACAGGAGATCCACCTCCATTCGGATTCAGCTGGGGGCCGGCACCGAAGTCGTAGAGAGAGTCCAACACGGCTCCCTGAGAAACCCCACTCAACACCTCAGCAACAAGTCTGGAGACAAAAGAAAAATGCAAATAATCACACCGAGACCGAGGGGTCCTCGCAAAACATACCTGACAGACTCCCCCTGGAACGTAACCTGGATCTAGTGGCCTTCCCCTCCCCCACCCCAAACCGCATCTCTAAAATTATGGAAGACTTACAGGAAGTCACCATCCAGTATGTTAATTGCCCAGATCCAGTGGAAAGTGCTGCACGCCTACAAAGAGTTTATGAAGAAGAAAGGCAAGGCATGATGGAGGAAACAGCTCAAATCATCGCAGCAGCCTCATTACCGAGGCATCAAACACACCAGACCATCACCACTGGAGTTCCTAGAGTAGGAGAAGAAACCTTGAGAGTAAGGAGCGAAATTGAGGAGTCGGCCCGATCCCCTCCAAAAAGTCTGCAAATCAACAGCTCCCAAGAGTCTGAACCAATCGAACCTGCAAAAAAGAGAAGAGGCAGACCCCCAACAAAGAGAACTAATCAACCAAGTCCCATCTTCTTACGAGGAGCTAGCTCGAGAAAGTTAAAAGCTCACCAGATACAACAATCTCCCAGAAGAAGGATAACTGCAGGACCATCAAGGAGTATAGATAAGCAGAACAGACCCACACAGACTCCGCTGAATGCAACTCCTACGAGTCCTAAGGCACAACACCCTACGAACTCGGGACCAAGTCGACCAGCCAACCAACCAAGAAGCGTCATCATTCCGGAAATCTCCAAGGACAAGGCGGATTTTCACCATCCGCAAGGTCCGGTTCCTTAACGCTTGTGAGCTGGAACTGTTGTGGGCTGGGGAATCCTGCAACAGTTCGTCGCATAAAGGAGCTGCATAAGAACCTAGCTCCAGACATTATATTCCTCATGGAAACAAAGAATGGAAATGACTTTGTTACCAAGAAACTCACCAATCTCAGTACCTATGATCACCACTTGGTACCACCTCACAGCCCAGGAGGTGGAGGACTCGCCCTCTTCTGGAACCAAAGTGCGGAAATCTCTATCTTGACGGCCTGCAAAGACTACATTGACACCGCCATGAAATACAAAGGAAAATCCTTTTACGCAACCTTCCTTTATGGAGAACCTGACACATCAAAGAGGAAGGAGATTTGGGAACAGCTTACGCTCCTGGCTCAATCAAGAGACGCGCCATGGTTCATAACAGGAGACTTTGATGAAATTTTAGATAACTCAGAAAAACCGGAGGACCCCAACGAGCGGAAGGTTCCTTCGGAGACTTCAGGGAATTCATGGCCCAATGCGGTCTCTACGACTTGAGCCACTCTGGAAATGCCTTATCATGGAGGGGAGTAAGGAACTCGCACACTATCCACTCTCGGCTGGACCGAGCCTGCTCAAACAGCTATTGGGCTGAGCTGTTTCCACTTGCCCACTGCCATTACGATCGCTTCGAGGGATCTGATCACCGCCCTGTCATTTCTTTCCTGGAACCTACGAAACACAAGAAACAAGGGATCTTCAGATATGACAGAAGGATGCGTAACAATGAAGAGATCCGACAGCTCATCTCAATTACCTGGAACTCCCACCCTGGTGCCTCCGTCGAATCGAGAATAGCCAGATGCAGAAGGGAAATATCAAAGTGGAACCGCGAGCACCATGCAAATAACAAGAAAACCATGGATGAGATGCGTGGAAAACTAGAAGAAGCAATGTCAAAACCTACAATAAACGACCTGGTGATCCATTCCCTGAACCAAAAACTAAGAGAAGCCTACAAAGCAGAAGAGGAATTTTGGAGACAGAGAAGTAGGCAAACCTGGCTGAGCTTAGGGGATAAAAATACAAGATATTTCCATGCAATCACCAAAGGGAGAAAGACTATCAACAAGTTTGCTCTTATCGAAAACACGGAGGGCCACATAGTCTACGAAGAAGACCAAATTGCTGCGGTCATCACTAGCTACTATACAGACCTCTTCACCACTCAACAAACAGAAAGAGAAGAGATTGTTGAAAAGTGTCTCTCACCTCGCATCTCGGAGGAGGATAAAATCAGACTTATAGCAGCACCAACACAGCTGGAAGTGAGGAACGCTGCTTTCTCCATCAATCCGGACAAAGCACCAGGACCCGACGGATTCTCTGTCGGACCAGCAATCACCGATGAGATCCAGAACTTCTTCCTGACTGGCACCCTGCCACGAAACGTCAACCATACACATGTCAGGCTCATCCCTAAGATAAAGAGTCCAAAAAGTGTATCCGACTATCGGCCTATTGCCTTATGCAATGTTTTCTATAAAATCATCTCTAAAATCTTGACGCAAAGACTCCAGCCTCTACTACACAAGATCATCTCCGAAAACCAATCAGCATTCATACCAGGCTGTGCTATTTCAGACAATGTTCTTATAACTCACGAGGTCCTACAATTCTTAAAGACATCTGAGGCAAAAAAGCACTGCTTAATGGCGGTCAAGACCGACATGAGCACAGCGTACGACAGAGTCGAATGGGACTTCCTAAGGCTTGTCCAACTGAAACTTGGCTTCCACCCGAAATGGGTCCAATGGATTAATCAGTGTGTATCTACAGTTTCGTATTCCTACCTGATAAATGATACGGCAAAAGGACTGGTGATACCAAGTCGAGGCATCAGACAGGGCGACCCCTTCTCACCATATCTATTCATTTTATGTGGAGAAGTCCTATCTAGCCTATGTAACCAAGCTCAGGAAAAAGGACACTTACAAGGCATTCGTGTTGCGAGAACAAGCCCAAGGATCAACCACCTGCTTTTTGCAGACGACACAATGTTCTTTAGCAAAACAAACGATCGTTGTTGCTCAACCCTCTCCAATATCCTTCAACAATATGAATTGGTCTCGGGTCAGAAAATCAATGTGGAAAAGTCCTCCACAAACGATCGTTGTTGCTCAACCCTCTCCAATATCATTTTCGACAAAAACAAGTTCTGAAACCAAGGAAAGAGTCAAAGCAAAGCTGGGAATCAGTAAAGAGGGTGGACAGGGAAAATATTTGGGACTCCCTGAATATTTTGGCAGACGGAAAAAAGACATGTTCACCTTAATTGTGGACAGAATCCGGCAACGAGCCGCCAGTTGGTCATCGCGATTCCTATCGGGAGCTGGAAAGCTCACTTTACTCAAATCCGTTCTTGCGGCAATCCCGGCGTATACAATGTCCTGCTTTAAACTCCCTGCTAGCATCTGCAAAAGAATCCAATCAGCTCTCACTCGGTTTTGGTGGGACGACAAGCAGGGAACAAAAAAGATTAGTTGGACCTCATGGAAGAAGCTCACAAAACCAAAAAAAAGGAGGACTTGGCCTCAGAGACATACAGGCTTTCAACGATGCCGTGCTAGCCAAAGTTAGCTGGAGGATACTGAAAAACCCAGAAGCTCTTCTATCTCGGGTTCTACTTGGGAAATATTGCAATCACTCCAGCTTTCTCGAAGTCGCCCAGCCATCTGTCTCATCCCATGGTTGGGCAGGGATTTTGATTGGTCGCGACCTGTTGTTGAAAAACCTTGGCAAAGTCATTGGTGATGGAAAATCAACAAACCTTTGGTCAGATCCCTGGATCTCAATAGAGGAACCAATTAAGCTATATGGCCCTGTTGAAAAAGAAAAACAGAACCTGAAGGTTGCTGACCTCTTCAAGGATCATACCAAAGAATGGGATCCAACGAAAGTAGCAGAGCTCCTCCCCGATTTCCTCAATGAAATCTTGTGCAGAAGACCGAGTCTTACCGGAGATGAAGACCAGTATACATGGCTCAGCACAACCTCGGGAGCATACACAACAAAATCGGGTTACAATATGGCTATGATGTCTAGACAAGACACAGAAAACTCCGACATAGCTGAACCAAGAATTAACTGGTATCCTCATCTATGGAATACGAACTGCTCACATCGTCTGAAGATCTTCTTATAGAAATGCATCCAGGGAGCAATCGCAGTAGGTGAAAATCTCCAAGCTCGAGGACTCCCAACCCACTCAACCTGCAAACGATGTGGCCAGCTAGAGACAACAGATCACGTCTTCCTTCATTGCGAATTTGCAAGAGCTACATGGACACTAGCCCCGACGAGCTCACCTGTCGACGCTGAGTCCATCCCCAATTTCATCACCGGACTGAAAGCAGGAAAAAGCTGGAGGTGTCTTCCACCAACCGGACTCACCATGAGCTCTCTGTTTCCATGGATCTGCTGGGCCCTTTGGTCCGCCAGAAACCTCCTCCTGTTTGAAAATAGATCCTTCTCTCCCAGAGAAACCATCACCAAAGCAGTAGCAGACGCAAGAGAATGGTTAGATGCACAGCCACAACAACCAACACCAACAAGCAACCGACAAATTCAGATCTCAAGAGTCTCAGACCCGAATAGCGTTACCTGTTTCACAGACGCAGCTTGGAGATCCGAGGACAAATCGGCGGGCCTTGGATGGATATTCGTGGAACCCAACCGACAACCCATCAGCGAGCATTCACATACTGAAAGGTTTGTGAGCTCCCCTTTAGTTGCTAAGGCACTGACGGTTCGAGAAGCCCTCTTGTATGCCTGATCTGTACAGAGACAGATCCTCCACATCAACTCAGATTCCCAAACGCTCATCGCAGCAATCAGGTCGGGAGACCTCCCAGCCGAGATCTATGGTGTCCTCCAAGACATCAAATCGATCTCTGCTTCTTTCTCCCTTGTTACTTTCAATTTCATCTCTAGATCGCTTAATTCTGTCGCAGATTCAATTGCGAAGAAAGCTCTGGCTGAACTACCTGTATTAAACGCTTAGTCTTCTCAATTAATGCATTAGATGTTCAAAAAAAAAAAGATTTTCTTATACGATTAAAATTTGATGAATCAAAGAAAAGTACAATTTTTTTTTATCAAGAAATTCTGGACAGAATTCTATAATCCTCCAGAACTTGAACCATAACATATGATATTAGTTTCATATTAAATACCACTCAATTATGTAACCCCTAAATTTTGTGTAAGGTACTTTTCCTATTGAGCTAATGACATTTAGTAAAAGTATTATCTTTAGATTTTTGGTAGTAAATAATTGAACATCAACATATAATATTAGTTCCTTCTCAAATACCACTTAATTATGTAACGTCACTTTGCTTAAGTGTGTTCCTCTATATCAACAAAGTGTCTGTCCATCGATTGGAAAGACTATGAAGATTTACTCTGCTCATCTTCATCTTTTAGTGGAGTGATATAACTTTGGAATATAACTTTTCCACCATATTCTCTTTCTTTGAAATTGAAAAAGATTTTCTTTGGATTTAATACCAGAATATTTTGTCAATTTTTTCACCGGATTCCTATCTTGTATAATGGTCTATACCAGGTCAGAAGATGCAATCGAATTCGTTTTGACGGATTTTGGAGGTGAGGATTGACTTTTAACATCAAACTTCAAAGTAACTAAATTTCAAAAGTGTGACTTTGCTGAAACTCTTCGATCAATGAATTCGAGATTTAGTTCCAATTTGTTGTCAAATTTCTATGATTTCCACAATCACAATCTGATCCGTTGCCATTGTCCCGCGGAGGAGATGGTAAAACTCGCCCAAAGTCATTGCCTCGTACATAGACTTTTCTTGTTTGATGTTAATCATTACCTTGACGAGTGCGAAAAATTACTTTAATTTTTAAGGTTTTTATGTTTTGTTGTTGATTTTTAAGAGAATGGATAATTCTTTCTATTTACCATAATTTGGAAGCTTAAGTTTAATGGAATCAAGAGTTAAACAAAAAAAAACAAAATCAATCTTGATTAAGAACTGGAAAATGTTCCTAAGTTCATGTAGCTTCAAAAGCTCTGAAAACTGGTACAACCTATTATGAATGTCTGAAAGCTGATTGATTTCAACTAAATTTAGAGTTTCAGATAAAGAGAGAAAAAAAAACTGAAAACACAAAATCGCAAATATTCATATATATAAAGATATAGAAGCAAGTATGATGTAGTAGTTTGTTTACACAAGGGATAATCTTTTTTCCATAGATGTTCAAATC